ATCATCATCATCAAAAAATTGGATCTCGGGGTTTATTTTTATTTTTATTATTATTATATGAAAATTGTATGCTCAATTGAGGCATGAGATACCGGTAAGGACGAATGAAGGAATGGACTTTATCGTCCTTCCGTTTTTCCTTCCTTGCTTGCTTTCTATCATTATTATTCCAGGATACCGGTATAGGCTTAGCTTTTTGAACTTCTATTCGTCGTCCAAATTTATCTCTACTTTTTCTTTCTTTTTTTCCCCCTTTCCCTTAATACCGATGCCTTTTTCTTTCTTCCTCTACTCGAGTGGTTTGGCCCTTTTCGTGGGTGATTCGGCCCTTTTATTTTTCCCTTTCTTTCCTGATCGCATTGGATGACTGAGTATGCGTGCTTTGGTATCGTATCACAAGATTTATAAATTGCTTCGTTGGGTATTTGGGAATGAATATATTTATGGGAATTACGTTTGATATGCGGTGGGCTTTTAGATTTCTTTTTTCTTCCCCCCTTCATGAGGGGGGTTGGCGCGATTGGATTCTTTGAATACGGTAGTGCACTCTAGGTGCAGGTGGATGAACGGACGCTCGGTGTAATGAGGAGTGAAGAAGCACCGATCACGTATCATGGCTAGACTGGATTGATTACAATATGGTAATGTTTCGGGTATGATGGGCGAATATGATGATGATCACGGGACAACATCGGTCTACCGGTATGCTTTGATGCGGATTCGATATCTGATGCTTTTATTTGCTTCGGCGGAGCGGAGGAATGAAACAAAGAAGGGAAAATAGTGACGATCGTTCATCACGATTATGATGGGTGCATTGGGATCCGAGCGATTAATGATGGATGAATGGATGGATGTTTGGGAGGGGAGAGAAGAGAGAGTTGATAGAAAGAGCAGGATTCGAACCCTACTCGGGCTACACCTGAGAAAGATCACTTCAAAGCGAAGCACAATGCCCAGGTCACACATCACAACCACTCGACTATCCCTTCCCTCCGGCTTTTAGCGGCGATTTCTGGTTTGCGTATGATACATGTGGTTATGAAGGAGTTTTGTAGGCAAGTTCTTTGTTTCCGGGATGTTGCCTGTGCAGGTGGATAGACACCAGTACAGTGAGCCGAATTGAACCGGAATTGGGCATTATTGAATAGAATGGGATTATATGGGAAGGGGGGGGAACTTTGTTTTGTTTTTGAGTATATTTTGGTTTAACGTAGCGCGGATTGTGCAATCACACTCTTAAGGGGGGATATTTAGTAAATCTCCAACGACAAGTTAGTATAGAGATTTAGTAATGTTACCCTTCTGAAGGGTTTGCTCAGAGGTGCTCGTATAGCACTTTTTTGGAGTGAAGGGGGGGGCTTAGTATTATACCGCATTCAATGGATATGCGGATATTGGCAGGATCCGAAACTGATTGGAGTTATGATGTAGACTGAGGATTAGACCTATAGATCGGATCCTATCATACTTGAATACGGTAGCTTTTTCGGGTCCGCCTTGATGTCCCGCCAGCTTACGTTACTATAGCCACCGGTAATTTACTTTTAGTCGTAAGAGTGGTCAAGATTTCATTTCCCATAGTGGTACAGTACTGACGATTGATGCTCGTGTTAACCATTAGGAGAATAATATCATTAATCGTACTTACTCAAGTAAGGGCTTAGGGTTACAGCCACAAAGGTATGATACTTCGAATAAGAATCCTTTCATCGATCGCTTATTTATTTAACCCCTGCGCAACAAAGCAAAACACCCCCACGATAGTCTAAACTACACCATAGTTCTATCTACCCAAACGTTCACTCGAGCTATCCATCTATCCATCCTCACGGTTACTTGATCAACAAAGAAAGGGTGAAAAAAAAAAAACCCCAGTTCAAAATTTACAGTAGAACTCCTATACCTTTCAGAAGCGAGTAAAACAAGATGTCAGGCAGCGCCGCATCCTTAGCGAACCACCTGAACTTTCCCGGTCTCGATCGTATCAGTATCCGCAGGCGCATGACGTTCCAAGGTCAGTTGGAGAATGACCCGGACGAGGTGGTTTATATGGATGAAGAGGGTATATATATATCAACTTCCCCTCATAACCTCCATTGGGAAGGGGAGAAAAAAAAGGCTAATAAAAAAAATGAAAAAACCTCGAGTAGAACAAGATAGATTAATCAATCAGTTAAAGTACGAAGATTCTGGCAAGAATGATTTCTTTACCGTTTGTCCCCCCCCCCCTACACATTTATATATGTAGAACTAAACCCCCCACCCCCTTAGAAACTAATCTTCCTCCTCGAAATCGTCCAACTCCCCATGTTCTTTTTCCGCCTGGGGGCCGGGCCGAACTGGTCCGACCTCCTCAGCATAGTATCCGTGACAACGTCCGCGCTGTGCGTCCCTACCACGCGCAGGTCCGGTAGCGGTAGGGAACTCGCGCCCGAACCGGGCTGGGTTCCCCGCGCCATCGGTCTGAACTTGTTCCTCTCCCTCGCGATCGCGGGGATCACGCTCTTGAAGCATTACGCCCCGCCCGCGGGCGTGGAGGTCACGCTTTACTTGGACGCGTACGAGAATATGGGGCTTGTTCCTCTCGGTGAGTTCTTCCTTTTCATGTTTCCACCCTGGGTTTGGGTCTCGCTATTGCTGCTGACTTTCCCCCCCCCTCTTCCCTGGGTGTGTGTGTGTGTAAGTACTCTGGGTGTTCACGCAGTTCACCAGGAAGGCTTTGAGAGCTGTGGATACTGGGTCTTTGGAAGGGTTGAGGTATAGGTACCTTGGAGCATGATTTTTTTTTTTTTTTTTTTTTTTTTTCCGGGGGGGGGTTGTGCTTTTGTTTCTGCTTTTCCGGGTATCATACCCATCGGTTTTTTACCGTTTTTATTTTTTCAGTAGTATGGATACCGGGTGTGGCGATTTCGTTGGGGTTTTCACTTCAACTCTTTGTTCTCCTAACCTGGTATCATAATAGGAGTAATTGCTTTATATTTCCACCACCGTTCCCGGAGATCTCTTGTGTAGTTTTTCTTCTTTTTCGGTGACCACCTATCTTACCTTTCAAATTAAACACAAAAAAATGCAGGTGAAATCGAATCATGTTTCATGAACGAGTGATTGTGAGTGATTTGTAAATGGTGTGAGAAAAAAAATATTGTGTGGGGATTGGTGGTTTCTTTAGAGGCCTATGCAGTTGAAGTTCATCCTGGGGTGTCGACCTTCGCTAGACTGATTAGGGAAATAGACTGGATGAGTTTCGAGCTGCCTTCTAATTCATAGGTTAGAAATGTGTGGTGCGGGGTTGCGAAGCTCCCTTTGGATCACAGGATCTAAGCCCAATGTATAATAGTGCTCAGATGTTCCTTGGGGAGAGGTACTTGTACACATCAAGCAAACACGCCCGTTAGCCTCGATCCCTAGTCTAAGATTGGTACGAGTAGTGTTATCATTGCATGATCCGTAAACATAACATTAAACCCGAAAGAAAAAATTAAGTAGCACCTCCCTCCATATAGACGACGTCGCACCCTCCTCCCGACTTACCCCCCCCTTCAAATTCCGCACGTTACAAACTCCTCTGCCTATCCCTCCTCATGTTCCTCATAGCAACCTCCTCCGCCGTCAGGTATATAATGTTAACCTCCTGCTCACTCCTGATAGCGTTCTTGATCTTTCCCCACAAGCCCCCACTCCTAGAATCCCTCTCCCTCGCTGCGCGAATCTCCTCATTCTTCCGGCGCAGCTTCTCGGCCTTCTCCTCGCTAACGGCGCCCTTCAGGTAGACCTTCGGTATCCGCCTCTCCCTGATCTGGTTTGCGAGTTCTGGATTCTCGATCTCCGTGACCCTTGATGGCGGGGTGCCGTTTATGGAACGGCCTTCCACGTGCGCTAGGAGGTTGTAGGCGCGGTAGGGGATCGGTTTTGTGTTCCCTCGCCTGCCGTAGGCGGGGGGTGGCTCCTCGCTTGAACGGGGGGGTCGAGTGACGACGGGTTGGGTCGATGAGGAGGGGGAGGAGGGAGAGGGAGAGGTGAAGGAGGACTCGTAACTGGGCGGTGAGCCCTCATAGGATGGCGCTCCGTGGGGGGTATTTGTAGCGCTCATCGGGGGTTGAGATGTGGGTGTTGGCGTACGAGCTTGTTTTGGGACAAATCTCTTGTCGGGAGCTGTATATGTATTATGTCGTCGCACCGAATACTGTATGGTACGGGGAAGAGAGAGAGAAAGAGAGAGAGCAAGAGATAGGGGGGCAAGGAGTTTTGTACTGTACTTTCATCTGAGACATCCGCATATTTGGTATTTTACCATTTACCCGCCCGCCCCCTCCCCCCAAGCTTAAACCAGAGCTCGGGAAGAGTTATCTCGAAATATACGTTATACTCGGTCCGAGAACAGGTTTCTAGTTCCCCCCCTAGCAGTAGGAAACTTCTAGTACCGGGTGTTAGAACCCATCAGACACGTATCATGCCAGCGTCCTTACATGATATTGACTAAACTGAACCCGAGCCAGGTATCATAGCTAATATACCTCGCCAATTCTGCCTCCGCTAGATGCTTTATTGCCCCCCCCTACCACCACTTGTCCATAAGTATAATGCGACGGATTGCTGGGCGGTGGTAGTGGTGGGGGGGGGGTGCTCTGGCTGGGCTCCTGGTAAAATGGTTCTGATGTGACCGGACTGGAGGAAGCTTGATTTCCAAGAGATATTTATTATTGGTGACTCTCGGAATCGCGGATCGCCATTTGACTGTTACGGCATCATGGGTCATCATACAGATCTTCGGATATAAATTGATAAGCTATAAGGGTTGGGAGGTGAAAAATCCATATTCCACCAGTATGGGCGGACGTCCGTCTTGGACAAAATGGGGATAACCACTGAATCTCGTGTCCCATCGCGTGACACCATGGCTTGGACCGCTTGTCTGGTATTGGGACTTCTTCTCCTATCATGGCAAACGTTCGGCCGTTTCTTCTGGTGGACGCCGATCATTTCCCCTCACTCGACTTTCATCGGCCTGTAGGTCTTGGCACTCTCATCTGCGGCTCTAACAGGCCAAGGACAAATTTCGAATCTCTAAATTGAAAAAGTCTAACACTGATCCAACCTCCTTCTTCGGCCATATCCCCCACCAGATGCATTACCTCCTACACGCACGATTATTACTCCAACGGCGGGGGCTCAAGTCCCTAGCACGTGTCTGTCTCCGGTCTAGAGGTTTTGCGACGGTATCCGGGGACCGGAGGTGCGGGGCTCTCGCCAAATTGCCCCTATTGTCGGAGGTGTCTGGCTGACGAGTTGTGTTTGCCCGAGGATAGTCTGAACCAAGAATTCGACGTCGTAGTAATTGGCGGAGGACATGCTGGATCGGAGGCTTGCGCTGCTGCGGCAAGAGGTATGCTCCAATCCTCCCCCCCTCCCAACCGGTCCTGCGATCGCAAGCTGTAGTAAGGATTCATTGTTAAACCCCGGTTTTCTAGTGGGCGCAAAAACTGCCCTAGTAACCCAGAAGATCGACACTATCGGAACATGCTCGTGCAATCCTTCATTCGGCGGTATCGGTAAGGGCATTATGATCCGTGAGGTGGATGCTCTGGACGGAGTCTGTGGCCGGATAACCGATAAAGCCGGTATTCAGTTCCGGGTGCTGAACAGGAGTAAAGGCCCCGCGGTGTGGGGCCCCCGTGCACAAATTGACCGGAAACTGTACAAGAAGTACATGCAGGAGGAATTGATGTCATATCCGAACTTGTCAATTCTACAGGGTAGTGTTGCGGATGTGGTTGTAGACCGGGTGCCGGAAGGGCAAATGATTGGTATGGAGGGGCATTATGGGAAGATCACGGGGGTAAGGCTGGAGAGTGGGGAGGTGATTAAGGCTAGGAATGTTGTGATTACTACTGGGACATTTCTGGGTGGGGAGATTCACATTGGATTGACCGTTTTCCCGTCTGGAAGGATGGGGGAGGCGGCGACTTTTGGACTGAGCAAGTCTTTGAGAGAAGCTGGCTTCAAATTGGGTCGTCTGAAGACCGGAACGCCCCCGAGGATCGACGGTCGGACAATAGATTACAAGAGCCTTCTTCCGCAACTTGGAGATGACCCACCAATACCGTTTTCATACATGAACGAGAAGGTTCAAATCGAGCAGCAGCTGCAGTGTCACAGCACCCATACCACCCCGGAGAGCCACAATCTGCTACGACAGCATTTCCACGAATCAATCCACATCCGCGAGACGATCAAAGGCCCACGCTACTGTCCGTCATTAGAAAGCAAAATCATCCGCTTCGAGAAAAGGCAAAATCACATGATCTGGCTAGAACCCGAAGGCATAGACGACCACGTCGTATACCCAAACGGCATCTCCATGACCGTTCCTGCAGAAGTCCAGGAACGCCTCCTGAAGACCATCCCAGGCCTCGAAGAAGCCAAAATGCTACAGCCCGGATACGGTGTAGAATATGACTACATCGACCCACGCTCCCTCCGGGCAACACTCGAGACCAAGATTGTCAAAGGCCTTTTCCTAGCCGGACAAATCAATGGAACAACCGGTTATGAGGAAGCCGCTGCCCAGGGCGTCGTCGCAGGGATCAACGCCGGCCTCTCCTCACAGGGAAAGCCCCAAATGACCATTTCTAGAAGCGACGCTTACATCGGCATCATGATCGATGACCTGATCACAAAGGGGGTATCAGAACCCTACCGAATGTTCACTTCCCGCAGCGAATTCCGCATGAGCTCCCGCGCCGACAACGCCGATCTCCGCCTCACCCAAGCCGGCCGCGACCATGGCGTAGTCGGCGACGCGCGATGGGCACACTTCCAAACAGAGTTTTCCTTGATGGAGGACTTCCGCTCCGCACTGTCTAACATCACTCAGAGCAGCTCCGAGTGGCGGAAGCGAGGCTTGGTGGTCAGAGAGGACTCGGCGCGCAGGAATGCTTTCCACCTACTCAGACTTTCAAACATGACGATAGGCAAACTGGCGGAGATGGGTGTCGTGGGGGGCCTGGATCGCTGGCCGGAGAGGATCCGTACTAGGGTCGGCATCGAGGGGGTGTATGAGCCTTACGTCACGAGACAGGCCAACGCTGTCAAGATGTTTGAGAAGGACGAAGGGTTGAAGCTGCCGGCTGATATCGACTATGATCGGTGGGTTTTCCCCGATGAATTTCTGTGCATGCCCTGGGAAATCTTGACTGACTAGGTCTCACAAAAATAGAGTCCTGGGCCTTTCATACGAAGAAAGAGTCGTTCTAAAGCGAGTCCGGCCGGAGTCTATCGGACAGGCGAGACGTGTTGAGGGCGTACGTTACCTCTCCTGCAATATCATGGATCTGTCAATCTTGAAACTAACGTTTGCGGGGGATCTTCTAGATGACACCAACAGGCTGCATCCGCCTCCTCTCACACATTGAGAAGAAGAAGAAAGAAGGGGCGAAAGCGATTGCAGTGGAAACGCAGCGAGCTAGGATAATTTCTTTGGACGTGGGTATGGAATCTCGTTTGAGGGAGTGAGGGGAAATTTTACATAACGTTTCATATTTTATTATTATTCTAGACTGGCGTTTGTACATTAGTAAGGGGGGATAACAACTGGGTTTTGGAACGCTATGGGCTGCTCCGACATGTACCGTATATTCTTGTAACATTCGTATAAATACTTTTCTTCTTGAAGAGGAGGTTTGCTTCCACTTACCTTCACGGCATTCGATGTGCGAGCGTACTGGTGCGGTCATCACAATAGCTAAATTAATGTATGGCTAATATCTAATTACAACCCTCCATCCAACCAAGCCACAATAATAATACAGCGGAGCCCAACTAACCAAAGTTCATCTTCAAAGTAATGGTCGGCGCACTGGACTGCTGCTGGGTACTCTCAGCAACGGACCTAGCGTTCGACCTTAAAATCTCCTCCATGAAACCCCTCTGCTCAGCACCCATATTCGCAACAACGCTCTTGAACGCCAATTGGTTAATGGCGACCAACTCCAGCAACCTCTTTGCCGTCTCGGGGTACGAGCCTGGATTCGACGAAGCGTGGGCTAGCAATGTAGGTATTAGGAGCGCCATGGCGACCTGGGTTTGGTCGCCGAAGAGCGTGGAGACGAAGGACGTGAGGATGTGGCAGACGAGGGATTTTGTCTGATCCGAGTCTTCCTCAGGGTCGCTTTTGGTGGTTGTAACAAAGGTGATTAGTCGCGGGATCATGTAACGGACTATTTCCTGGTCGCAGGCGGTCTTTGGTGTGATCATGAGGATTGAGCGGCTGCATTGGACGGCCATTTTGGACGTCTGTGGAGAGTGGTGTTAGAATTGTGGCTAGGATATTTCTAATCGGGTGGAGGTTTACTTCTGGGTCTGACAATGCATCTATTATTCTATCGCATAGGATTGGGACCTGCTCGTCGTTCGGGGGCAATATATTAACTCCGGCGGTAATCACTATCGCCGAGGCCATCAAGCAATTCTTGAGGCAAGGGAGTGCAGAACTGCCTCGTATCCTATCAAAACTAATCAGAGCTGTTTGTAGAAAGAAGGATGAGGAGGGAATACTTTGCGTTATCGAGAATTTGTAATATGCTGCTCAGACAACTCCTAACCTGCATGACAACCATCTCGTTGTCATTACCCCCGCTAGAATTCGTGATTATTCGGATGAACCGCTTGAATATCGGCAGGGATCGCGGCACCACCTCCGTCTGACAGACACCGGTACTGAAGATGCCTAGAGCCAAGTGTTAGTACCTACGACCAAAACGGGAAGGCGCTACGACCCACCAGTGAAGATGTGGAGAATCGAAGCATAGAGATCCATTCGTATGACTGCAGGAAATACTTCTGCGGCATATACCAAGGCATCCAAAGAAACTCGGACGAGGTTGGCAGCCTCTTCCGAGAGTTGGTGACGGACTAGATAACTCGAGGTCAGCACAGCCCATTCGGTAGAAAAAAAGAATCCATTCGTATTCATACCCACTGTCTTCTTGTCAACCACATTCGGTAGTAAGCGCGCAAGGACTAGGACCATCAGTCTCGTCAACTCGAAAAGTTGGTCGATGTCTTCTGTCAGATTCTCTCCCTGGGCGCCAGATTTTGACCTAGCGGTAGGATGCTCGACGCATAGGCTCTTCGCAATATCAACGATGGCAGACTGCACAGCCAGACCTTCAGTAAGGACTAATCGATCAAACAGGTCCATCGTCTCGGAGAAGATCACTCCCTGATAAATAGCATGACCGCAGACAGACGGGTGTAGAATCTTTTTCAGCGCTAACAGTATCTCGAGTGTCTGCTCCTTAGTGGCAAGGCTATCGACTCCTGGCCTGCCGACAAGAGCCTCGAAAGCAATTCCAAACAGTACAAAGAAGAATGCAACGGGCTCATCGCGGTAGTTGATATCGTGCGCGACGCCGCTACCATTGACATCTCCAGAGGAGGCTTTACCATCCAGGGCGTCAAAGACAAATCGACTGTCCTGTTCAATCAGGCTGGCAATTGCGTCGACCAATTTGAGCCAGGAATCCTGGTAGAACTGTAGTATCACTCGATCAACATCAATACACACGGCACTATTGAAATCCAAAGTTGGGTTGACGTACTTGTAGCAGTGCTTCCCGGTTTAGCGCTGAGTAAATGGTATCAATGGAGCCGCCGAGAGTTGTAGCGCCTGTAGAGTTCGTTGAGATGTCGGGCTCAAAGCGTAGCCTTGCGAACTCCCGAAGTGAGGATAGCCATAATGGTGCCAGTGTAGCAATATGTGGCTTAACAACGTCAGCAAGATACAATTGCTCTTTGCTTGCAACCTGCAGCTCAGCCCAGGCCCGGAGGACGGCCATCTTGACCATGACCTGAGCATTGGAACTGAGCCCTTTTAGGTCTCCAATTGATGCAATCTCGGAATCACCTATGTCGGTTAGCTAAAGAACTAGGATGGTGTGCGAGAGATACTGATAGACTTACTTGAAAAGTTCTCTAATGCTGATGTTAGCAGCCTTAAAATCCTCCCCATCCTGTCAACATCCTTAACGATGCCAGTTGAGATAAACCCTGCGCAGACATTCACTGCCTCACTTGCGAGCTCGGGACTAGAGTCAACCGCAAATGCCGGGGTAAGAGCAGATCCAATTTGTGCTTGGTATTGCTCTAGTAATGTAGCCTCTGGGAGTTCAGGGTCTGGAGTATAACCAAACATCTTAAGAACCTGATCCACGATCCTCAAACCAGCTAAACGAAGCTGTACTACATTCGATGTACTGGCGGAGAATGCCATCCGGATGATGTCCGCAATCTTTTGCGCAAGGCTCTCCTCCACCGGAGTCTCGGAATCTCTCTGCATCTCTTTCGCAGCCAAGCCTAGTAATTCGAAAAGACTGTTCATCGCGAATGTCCTAACTTGCCATCTTAACGATTCTTGCCCGGTAGGTTGCGAGTTTTCTTTTTCTCCAGAAGGTGCGACAGCGAGCGAGGCTACCTCATCATCGTTCAAGTCCGCAGCGCCCGAATTGGTGGGCTTCTCGTGCTCTAGTTTTCCGGCAATGCCATCCTTCCGCTCTACTAGCTTTGACATCACCACCTGGCAACGACCGACCCATTTCCCAGCATCCTCAATGCCAGTTTGGTTGAGCCAGTTGTTAATTATGTTCCGAATACCCTCATGCTCTGGTGCCTCGTCCAGAGCGATCCAAAGTTGATCTTCCAGTCCGGGATCTGCCGTGTCGATAATCCGCTCAGCGTCTCCTTTCATGAGTTGATAAAGGCCATCGATGGCTACATCTCTTAATTCCACATACTCTGAGCCCAACTCTTTCTGCAGCCGTTTGACGTAGCCCGCTGTATCCACATGGCTGGCTGCAAAAAGTGATAAATGTTCTAGACATCGCAAAGCCTCTAACTGGGCTGTATAGTCTGGTTCCTTCAGGAATTGGCCAACATTGGTTAAAATTAACTCCCTCGCCTTGCTCATATCCTGCAAGTCGGGCCCAAGGACTCCAATTAAAGAATCGATACACCGGACAATGATGCTTAATGTGGGAAGTTCCAATTCCAAATTCGATGTTACGGCTGTCGCCGCCTCCTCATTATGGGTCTCTGCTACGTAGAGTTGGGAAAGCATCCCCAGGGTACTTGTTACAAACCCGGAAAATGTAAGACCTGCCGAATCAATGGTCCTGGCAAGTCCGTCTAGTGCCCAAAAGTGCACTGTCGGGTGAGGATCATTGCTAAGAGACATCAAGATCCCAATGATGGTTTTGAGATGGAACCCAGCAGCCATTCCCCCGACATACGAGTGGATGCATCCAAGGGCCACGGCACAGCCAGCTCTGGCATTGGGATCCCGGTTATTGACTATCGTCCCAACACACCAGTTTATCATATTACCGGTAAAGCTATTTCCGCCGATGCTGCATAAACGCCCAAGTGCCTCGTACGCAACGTTTCGTACATATGGGTCAGGATGTATAACAAATCCCTAGAACCAGTCAATTCACGCAACATCACCAAAGCAAAAAGTTGGTCTCACCTGCAGCAATTCTTGCATGATCTTGAGAACACTCGCAGTGCTTAAACTCGCCGACGGAACTTCTTCACTTATTGTCACTTTAAGAGTTCCTAGGAGGGCGACCGCAACGTTGATTACCATGGCAGCCTTTCTTCCCGGATCGCGCTGAAGACTGCCTGACGCTAGAAAAGTAGCTATCTGTTCCAAAATACTCTCCTGGACCTTTGGGGGCTGGATCGGAAGGAGGATAGTGAAAAGGTCAATCGCTGAATTAACTACAGCAGTAGCCGGCGGGGCAGGAGTAGGTTCACTCCTGGCACTCGAATCGTTTGTAATGTATAAGGAAACAGAATCGTGCTCAATAGATCCAATAACAGGTGTATGTAGCTTTCCCGTCCAAAATATGAAATTAACAATACATCCTTAATGAAACATTCAAAATCCCGCAAGCAAAGAACGAAACGACTTACTGTTTCGTTGATCCTCGCTTCTGGACTGCTTCTTGTCATCCAATGGGCAATAGTTGGTCTGGTACCCTGGGCTTCGAATGCAAATGACTCAACATCAAATCCTTTTACAAACCCGCAGACACCATATGCGTAGTTGTCTCCAATATCCCATAGTGACTCGAAATTACCAGCGCTAGAAGCAATAGCCGTACTGAGTGATGATGGAGTGTACTTATCAGGGTCGGCAAAGAAACTCACAGCGATTGTGAGCAAGTTTGCTTGGAGAGCTTCCCCATGAGAGAGCTTCACAAGTTTCGCGTAACACTGGAGAACGCGGCGGCGGACCATAAGGTCAAGGTCGATTAGTTGCAGGGAAGGCGAAAGACGCTGGGTGACATCATCCGTGGTTTTTTTGGCCGGTAATGTGTTAAGAAATAAGGTCGAGTTTTGAAGCATAGCAGCGATCCTCTTGGAAACATCTGCTGTCAAAAGCCTAGAGTTGAATTCAAGGAAGGATAGGATTGAGCCAAGGGCGCACTCGCGAACATGAGCTAGGAAAGACAACTCCAAAAGGGATCGCTCTACCGAGGAGTCCTTGGCTAGAGGCTTCGGCAGCGCATTCTTCCAGAGCAACAAAAGCTGTGAAAGATGGATCTTCACAAAATTAGGCCCAAGTGCCATCAGCCCCCCAATTAGGATCCATGCAACTTGTATCTGAGTGCCCGAGATACGGAGGTCGTAATCTCCGCTTGTTTTTAGCAACGATGTAGCAAGGGTTAGTATCCTGGAGGTAACATCCACCGAGGCATAGAGAGGTTGGAGTGGTGCGGCACTGATGGCTGCTGCAAGGCCATTTGCATACCCGGTACATCTACGAAGTATCTCTGTGGTTGTAGGTCGCCTTGCGGTCATCTGTGAGAGCTCCCGATTCACATTGTTCATACAAATAGTAATTATAGGAAGGAGTTGGGAAGGAGCAGCAATAACAAAAACTCTCAGACACCAACTCGTCGCAACTTGGACGGAGTAGCTTGGATGTTGTAAGACCTGGAGAAGTCCGTCGCGTGTGGTGTCCTGCACGCTTGCTATGGCGGATCCTAACGACTGCATTGGAGATGCCAAGGCATGCAAAGCTCCGACTAGAGCGTGTTTGCTGGGCTCGGGCTTTTCTCTGATGACCTGAGGATAATTCTTTATGGTGTCATTAACAAGTATCTTGATCGCATTGAGTTGTCCAGTTTCCCCGAGTAGCCTGCGACCAATTACATCTTCCAACAGGATTCGCACATACTTCCGGGTGGTCAATAACCGGAACCTATTGGCAGTAATTGCATGGTGGGAGAGTAGGTCATTGAGTAAGTGACTCGAAATAATCCCATAGTTATTTTCGACCACCGATGATCCAAGTCTCGCCAGAACTCCCGAGTAACATAATGCAATCCCTGCCCTAGTTCTTGGAGATGTGGAGGGTTTGGTGTAGTGCATCGAAAGTTGCCGTAGAACCTCTTCCAAGGTAAGTGTTAGTCTCACAATAGCTTTTTTGCTGCTTGGAGCCGGTGAGCTAGGCCTGTCTACGCCCAACCCCTCATCGTCCCCAACAGCGGTCGATACCCTCTTCATCTTTTTGGGCCTCTTTGCAATTTTCGCAAGCTCTGGAGCTTCGGTAGAGTAGGCTAACACGAGTGCCAGTGACCAACATGACGCAGCGGCTCGCCGGGCCGATGCTGAGGTAGAATCTAGAGCCTTCGTTGCGGCACTTTGCAATTTATCGTACTCTTGGTGGTTGTTAAAGAGCTGGGTAGCTTGCAAAAGCTCTTCCATGCACTATTATTATGATTGGGGTCAGCAAACTAGTATAAGAATATCCCGGCTTATCAGTTTGACGCTACCTGTAATGCGCTAGCTTGAACAAGGGCTGATTTCTCGTTTGTTGCAGCATTTCTTGCCTGCTTCCAGACGTCGCGGGCTACCGCCTCGTCTGCCATATCCCTGACCATGCTGAAAACCTTTCCCAGAGCTCGAAATATGGAACTTCTCAATCCACAGTGCTAACAATTTTATTAGCCCCAATAATCGCAGCTCCTTTAAGATTCCACTAACATTCTGAGCAGGTTTAAGTAGCTTAAGTAGCGAGGTACAGGTCAAAGTTGACAACGCCATAGCCTACTATAGTCAGTCAAACATTCCCAAAATGTTGTCGAGCCCACATACACTATCTCCAGCAGCTCTGTAAACCTCTCCCACGCAATGGACAGCCGCACTGAACCCCCAAAACGCACAATCAGAATCCTATCCCGTAGTCTCTCCTTTCCTTCCGAAAAAAAAAGGGAGCGCTGGGCGCTTACTATCGAATCCTCAAGTCTTTATCCGACTTCCCCGCATTTATAAGGCCCGCTAACTCATTGATCGTTTCAAAAAGCAGCTTGCGATCCCCTTTACCAAAAATTCCCGCAAAGCACCGTCCAGATATATTCCGGACCAATCGAGTAGGTGCTGGCGCTGGCAAAGTAATAATCTTGAAGAGCTCCTTCTTCACATAGAGCTGATAGGCAGAAGCTCCGTCCTCATCCAACCGATTGACCAGCTTCTCGAGGTTGTTCAGGAAGGACATGACATATAGTTGCTGCTGCGCTTCTTCCGTCATGGTTTTTAGCTTGGCCGTGTCCAGCTGGACGGCCTCGATTGCAGAGGAATCGTCGGCCATTGGGGCTGGTGGGTGTTCAATGAACAGACTGTCGATGGGAGCGGAGGGGAGTATTTGATTGAAATTCTGCGATGATGGCCGGATTGTAATTGTTCAGGGTAAGGTGGCTTGGTTGGGGACAGGGAGAGAGATACATGTAGACACACCTTCGAGAACCACTTGGTTCTAGACGGGTATTTTATGGAATGATTATGTAAGCTTAAACTCCCTGACTGCAGGGGCAGGTCCTATGATAGCAAAAGATACCGTACGGTATGTCTCAGTATGATGTCCCAAATCTATTCCGAAAATCACCACCTCACGACCACCGCCAATACACATCTCGGTTTTGCTCAAACTATTGACACCCCAACAATGCAAAACATATCTCGTTTGATACTCCGGCGTAAACTGGGGTCTCTGTGCCCCATTGGCCTAAGTACTCTTCAGTCACACGTTCATACTCGCACATGCACAGTCTTTTTCTCTACATCTTCTTCCCTCCAGTCCGGCCATAATAGATGGACCAAGATCAGGCATGACAAGGGCAAAAATGATGCGAATAAAAGCGCTGAATTCTCAAGGCTCTGTCAAGAAATATGCGTCGCTATGAAGAGTACTACCAACCATACACTCATCGCATTATTACCCACACAATTTGCTTACACTAACCTCTCAATTAGGTGGTGGTCCAGGTCCCGATAACCTTCGCCTATCAGCAGCTTTAGTCGCTGCAAAGAAGGGTATGAGAAATCCCTCGAACCTACACAAACACCTCTAGGATAGAGGTAAAAAGCCTCTAACAAAACAATAGCCGGAATGTCAAAGGACAAAATGGAAGCATCCGTGAAGCGTGGTCAAGGTGTTTCTGCATCCGGTGCAACTCTAGAATCGGTTCAGATCGAATGCATCGGACCGGGGTCTGTTGCTATGATAATGTTTGTTCTGCCCACGATTTATAACCTAGTACCTGTCTGTCTGTTTATCAATTAACTACGAGAATGACAAACACGAATAGTGAATGCCAAACCGACAACAAGCTCGGCTGCCTAGCAGACATCAAAGTCATTCTGCGCAAAAATGGTGCCACGGTAACACCCACGTCGTACCTATTCACCCGCAAAGGGATAATACGTCTTTCCGCCGGGGATAATTCTTACGACACTCTGTTAGAGTCCATTCTCGAGATTGATGGGATGGGGGATATCAACGAGATCGAGCCTGAGAATAAGGGATCCAAGACTGAAGTGGAAGTCACGACAGACCCTGCCAAGAGTGTTGCTGTGGCCGACGGGCTCGAGAGCCAGTTATCCGGTGTGGAGATCCTGAAAAGCTCAATTAGATGGGTGCCGAACGAAGCGACGCTTGTTTCAGTTAACGATGAGAAGGCTTCAGAAGCTTTGATAAAGCTAATAAGTGGGCAACACCTCAATATTTTTTTATATTTGGGTATACTAATTTGAATGCGCGAGCTAGGTGCCCTGGAAGAAATGAGCGACGTAAGCGGTGTATATACAAATAGTCTAAAGTGAGACGATATATCATCTCATGCCATCACTATACTTTGCTTGAAGTATCTCTAACCAGTCCAACAAATAAACATGTAAATTAATTCAAGGCTACCATCCAAAAGGACATTACTAATGCTAAGCTCGGAGCTCAAAATTTTTTTTGAGAACGAAATGACATGAATGAGAATAAATAATTATGGGTATTTTCACGCCAGCGTCCTAAACAAGATATCGCAATCAACCCAATCAACTGGATAAGATATGAAAAACCCCTTAAGACGCTAAAAATCCAAAGACCCGATGTCAGCCAAATTCTCATCCAGGACTAGGACCGCCACGAGCAAGCGACGTAGCGAAATACAAAGTCCCCAAAACAAGTCAAGAATTACCTACCCTCACTCACCCCCACTACTTGCGCAAACCTCACTTTCTTGACTTTGCCCAGGACGGGTTCGGTATCACCGCCATCTATCACAGTTTCACGAGTGTAAACACACCCATGCGCAACCTTCCCCTCAGGAATAACCCCCTCACATATCCCACATTTGGCTGCGGGCCTTCTCCCGCCGATCAAGAGTCTCACATGCGGAATCCTGAACAGCCAAATCTTCCCCACCCTCGGGTGGACTAAAGCAATCCACTTATCATTGTCAAACGAACGCCCCAGCCGATTAGCCTCAGTGTGGGATTTACATATCACTATGGTATTCGCTGTATTGGTCTTCGCTACGAAACCCGCTCTCACCTCCACGAGGAGGATGATTTCCTCTTGGCTATCATCCTCGTTGACAGGATCTCTGGAAATTATCGCGCCGATCTCATGGTAGTAGATGTAGGTATCTTTGGTATTGGATTCCAAGGGGCTGCCTTTTCCCTGAATGATTCTCCTAGCAGCGGGGGTTGGGGGTGCGAGACTGGAAGTGAGTGGAGCGGGCGCTTCGGAGGATCTAGGGAGCTGGCGAAGTTTCCCTCCGTGCGTGGGTGTTGGTGCGAGTGTGGGAGAGGAGGAGAGCTCATGGGGTGAGGTGGCGGTCTCCCAGTACTCCTCCTTTTCATACTCACCACCCTCCTTTCCCTCCCCCTCGGCGATATTGATGCCGAGAAGTTCTGGCATTTCGGCCCAGGACAAACCGAGATCTAAGCCGTCATCCGCGGATGTACAGCGAGAAGGAGTGGGCGGCAAATTCGGGGATTCGGGGATTCCAAAAGGTACCTCGGTCGTGCCGGCGCCAGAGATCTTAGTAGTAGAGGGCTTGGAGCGCCAGGAGAACCGGGAGAGCTCTGAAATCTCAGAAAGGTCCGAGAGCTTGAGACGCCCGGGGTATGGAGGGAAGGGACTACGGGGAGGTCTATTTCTCGCAGTAGTGGCCGTTAATTCCGGATAATCGCTAGGGTATAATTCTATGATAATAGGTTGTCAGAACCGATGCTGTAAAATAATTTTCCGATATATGATAGGAGGGGTTCGCACCTTTGGCCTTGGATTTCACAGAAGTTGTCTCCATTTTAGCCCAATTGTTTTGTCAGTTTGTCGGGGAGAAGCGGGGGTGATAAGGTGAGGTGTGTTTTAGGAGGAATTTTAAAAGGTGTTCGTCAGTGACCCATCTTACGGGACGGCAGCCACAGAAAATTCAAGGGCCATCCATCCACCCCCGGGAAACCCGTTCCCCGCCCATCTCCCGCAGCACAACTTCGTCCTCTCTCATGCGAACGTATAAACACACTTGGACTATACTATCAACAGAGAATTTTCCAGCAAACACCGGGAATAGAAAAAAAAAGGAAAAGAGGGAAAAGACAAAGTGCCCAATCTGCCCAGAAAAACCCCAGATCCCCATCGAACACCCCGCCACTTTCCTTCCTCCCTTATTCGTGCCGCTCCCCCTCCAGCCGCCTAGCGCGCTTCTCCAACCGCTTCCGCCTTAACCTTTCCAATTCCGCCTTTATCTCGTCCCTCTCGAAGGGGATCTTGTGCGTTTCCTCCGGCTTCGGCCAGAATCCTGGCACGGAGAAGCGATTATCGAGGTTTGTGCCGAAGTAGTACATGATTGCGATTGGGAACATGATGTACCTAGATTCGCGGCCGTCTGTCAGTTGTTGCCCCGTCTTGTTTTCTCCGGTATGGTATGGTGGGTAGTCAATACGCACATTCCGAACTAGAAGGCGGATAGTAATTGTTTGTCAGTCGCCATTTTGCCGAGGAAGCGTGAATGGGGTTTGGTAAACCTTGAATACTTCTAGATTGCTTCCGCCCATGTTTGGGTTGTGTTGGCTGGTCGGGTTGAGGGTTTTGGGATGTTTCGGACGGTTCGACGGTTGGATGGTTCGGTGGTGGTGGTGGCAGGTGGGGTGGCTTGCTTTATCGATGGTTAGGGGAGTTGATTCGCCTACCGTACTGGATCTAGCGTGGCGTGCTATCCTTGTCGTTCCCGCACCACTTAATTTCCGGCAATGTCATGCACTGTTCAACCGTTTGAGCTTTGCAGCATCATACCGATATTGAGCTACATTATTACCGTGGGGTATCATATAATCGGGGTCAGGTTGGGAACGTCTACGGAGATGTTTGGGGGGGATTGTGGGATACAGGTCTATTAAGAGGGGGGGGGGGTTGAAAGAGGTTTCTTGACAAGCCCCGTGGGATTAACTGGAGTTGCTCCAAGAGCCGCAACTCTCGTATGATATGATATCATACCAGGAGAGACACCTCTGATGTCGTGTTGAGAGGGCTCTGTATATTCAGAAGAGCTATTGCCTGCAATCCACCCTAATTTGTGTGTCCCATGGTACCGTCAATCTACACTACACTCCCTTGGCAGAATCAGATCTTTCAACGCTCCATCTCAATGTACTGTCCGATAAGCTGATGAGGCGCTCAACCTGGAGTAAATGTCCTATAATGATATCATAACACAGTTTAAAGAAGGCACACGTGAAACATGAACCACTTACTTATCGATTGACCCTCTATGACGAAATCTACCTGCATGTTACAGTATTATAATACGATGTTCACCCAATCCCTCCAGGTCTAGAGGGGGGCAGTACGGTACTGCACTATACTCATACTCTACTGTGCTGCGACAAAGTTATACAAGTTATGACAACACCGCACCAACCAAACTTGCACAATCTTTCCAAACCGCCACCAAACCCAAGTCACACCGCCTCACTCATATCATATCATATCACACCAGCACCCAGCAAAACATGAATCCTAACAAACCCCACCGTTCCAGGAAGTCCTTTCCCTCCTTCCAATCCGCAGGTTGCGCATATGATACATACGGCAGTGAAGAATACACCGTCCCGCCAGCGCTAACGCAAACCGCCAGAACAAACTCTTCCAACGAGTGAGCGTGCAGGGCACATACAGCGCAGCAAGTTAAGTAGGGTGTTTACCTCATAACTAGAAAGCCAGGTCTGACTTTTCTTCGGGTCGTTGGGTGGCTAACGATCGACAAGCGGGGTTGGTGAAGGGGTGATAAAGTGTTTCTGTATGATTTATAACTTTCGACGCATGTATGGTGCGTGCGTCTGTGGATTTTGCGCAGCTTTGGTGATGGTGGGGGGGTCCTGCGCTCGAGTTAGACTATCATGTCATGTAAGGGGACTCTTCATGAAGAGTCACTCGGTTGGTGGGTTTTGGGTGGATGGGGAAATTGCGATGAATAATGTATCGTAGTGTTGGGCTGGTGGATTTACTACGGAGAGGTACGGGAGTTTGGGTGGTGGAGATGGTGGAAAGATGTCTGGACGAGATATGCTCAGAGGGATTAGCTGTTGTAAAGGTGGTTTTACCTGGGAGAGGGGAGTATAGGGAGAGAGGGAAGGGGGGTGGGGAGTTCTCTCCCTCGGATCTTGTTCACTAGAGGATATATTTCCAGAGATGGGGAGAGCAGATTCAGGCACGGGGAGTTCGTTGATACCTCCGGAGGGCCCGCATTGCCCGGTACCCACCGCTGAATTGATTGACGGGGTTGGCTTACGTGACTCTAAGGGGTAATTTCGTAGTAGGGAACGACATAATGAGTTACTGTAGGAATTACTACATAATATCCAGTAATTTATTCTTCCGGGATTCCATCGAAAAGTTAAGTCTCCCCGCATAACCAATCACCGCATGTCCTGGGTGAACTGGCTGTTTTCAAGTTTCATGCATCGAGATAATTGGCGGAATAGGTTAGCAACGGCGGCCATTTCAAAAAGTTTGAAGAGGCGATGTACTGTAAATCCCTTCCCTTACTTCCGTAAAATATATTGAAAGACCCAGCTTCTTATCACCAGCCTGCCTTCCCACTAGACTATATCCAAGCAATCTCTACCCAGTCAGTACTCGAGTATCCGAGCTCAAGAGCGGCACCAAAGGATCACCACACCTTTATCCTAGCTGAAAGCAAGGGCTATCGCCACCACAAGCAAAGCGTTGTATCATAGCAGCCTGGATACAGTCTATCCAGCGATCGTGAAACAAAGCAAGAAATATTGCACCAACTTCAGCATGGAACAGCCCCTCCCGGTGAAACTGGCACGATAGCAGTCCCATATCCTGTGGAAAGCGGCTTTTTAACAACTCATTGCGTTCAAGCAGCACGACACGAAAATCCAAACAAGATACTGGTAAAACCAATTGATCGGCAGCAGAAACAAGGCCCGTAAATGGCGGACACGGGAATGTGCATCCATGATACCGTGATCCGGTTTCTCGTGCGGCGGCCTTGTCTGGAGCATTTGGAAAAAGGGGTGTGTGAGAGGGAGAATTCTAGGCTGGTATTCAGGGCTGTAACTCGCACTCGAGTATGATACTATACTGTACTCGTACGATACAGTTATAATATTTGTGCGAGCCCGGTATGAGGCTGGCACAGTACCAAACGAAACCGGAAAAAAGTACAATAAAATGTAGAACGCAGTCTACTAGCACTTACCACACCCACCCGCCCACGAAGTACTCCTCTATCCGCCGGGAGGGGCGCTTTGCGGAAGGTGGGTTGAAGTGGACCCGAAGTGCGGCGCATGATTGAGGCCACCGAGCCACATGGAACCTACCGGTACAGCACCGTCCATGGCTACTAGGGCTAGGTAAGTATTCTAAACATGATGTTGTTTGCGACACACACAGCCCCAGCAGACTAGGCACTCGTGCTCGAATACAAGAAACATGTGCTAGAATATTGACCCCCTATCTAGGAGAGAGGTAACTTTAGCTTTAGAAGAAATTCCAAAATTCAGTGTTCAATTGAGACAAAGGGAGGGGGATACCGTAAAATACAAACAGCTTACTAGGACGGGTGGTTGCCACGTCCTGCCGCACTTCTCTTGTATTCGAGCACTTCTAGCACCCCTAGGGGACATCGATCAAAGGGCACGGTACGGTATGATACCATACTTGCACCTAGAGACAGTACAGCTACGTGCAGAAAGTTCTGACACCCCGGCTGGTACTGTAACACAAAAGGGCTATAGTAGATGTATTATCATGTACAGGTACTTCAAGAAGCAGCTTCATTATCCTTCAAACTACCACTTTGTATGCCCTCCATCATTTGCAATAACTGCCTGTATCTTATTTCCCATACTCCTAATTTATTTAACACATTTTGATCAATCTCCTCCCACTCTGCTGCCATCGTAGTCCACAATTCATCTTCATTACTAGGTCCATTTTAAATAGTTGTAAATTGGTGTCAAAGCCGGGCTTTGAGAATACTCCAAACATTTTCGATTGGATTAAAGTCGGGGAAGAGGTTGGAAGGAGTAGGATTTGAACCCCATATTCTGGGTAAATAGTCCTGTTGAGATCACTAAAGTGATATCCCGCATTATACAGAACAACGAAATAGTCCTCTATCTCGTTGTCAAGCGAAAGGAGATAAGGGATCAGGTATGGCTCATTGACCTCGGTTGCATATTGATGACCGTTAATACCGAGTCTGTCACGATCGGAGGTTCATTCTTTAGGTTGATACTGTCGAAGGCAAATTAGAGGTGTTCGACTTCCATAGGTAAATGTGGCCCAGCATCCAACTCCAAATCTTCCAGATCAAAAGGTAGGTACAAGGTTTTGATCGAGTAACTCTTGTCCAGGCTTGACTCGTACCCTTCGATTATGGCGATAACCCTCAAACTCAACCTTAGACTCATCTAACCAAACCATTCTCTTCCACTAATACAAATCTCATTCAATCTTCCGTAGACATCAGTGTTTGCGTCGAATCTTTTTGAAACTATCGAGGAAGAGCTTTTTGCAAGGCATTCCTAGATTGAAACCATGTTCTTTCACGGTCTTGTTCAAGGTTGTACAACTAACTTGAATATCAAGCTCTTGAAGCTTCTTCGTAAGCTCTTCTCAAGATGCCTATGAATTTGCCTCAACTAGGGAATCAATTGTTTCCGCTATTTCTTCTGTAATTTTTGTCTACTAGAGTGAGATGCGTCATCTGAAGAGCCCCGGGTTTGAAATTATTTAACAATATTGTGAATAGTAGAGACAGGAATTTTTGTTTTCTCAGCTGTTTACTTATACCCCCGGCTGTAACGATCCCTCTCTGGATAGTTAGTTCTTGGCGACGGGGAACGATACTTTTCTTTCTGTCTTCTTCTTTCTTTGTCTTACGATAGCTCTAGGCCTCTGCCTACGTTACTCATAGTACAAGACCTTTGTCTTCTATCGGAAACACCTATCGTAAGCTTTCTCTAACTCGTATTTGTGAAGGACTTTTCTTGGCGTAACAATAACGGTGCAATAAAGATAAAGATCGTAAAGATGTTTGATATTCGTTAAAGTAATAAGTAGGAAAAGTACTTAGAACAAAGTGTGAAGAACCTATCTTCCTCAGCCGCCTCAGCCTCCTTATATAGTATTCTTCCCGCTTGTAGTCATGTGACCTAAAGTGGTCACATGTGCGAAACCAAATCATAACAAACTAGTCATGTGACTAAAGTGATCACATGCTCAAAACCCATGACCTCATAGCAAGGTCATGTACAAAACTCATAAACCAATCATCACGCAATAACCAAGTCATATGACTTGACTGAGTCATATGCGCGAAACCCATGACCTCATAATGAGGTCATGTGCGAAACATAAATCATATGCGCAAGGCTTACCTGCAAGGCACACTTGCAAGGCATACTCGCTAAGCGCACGTCCCATGACTCATACTTGAGCCATGTACGAAAGCATGACAAATCCCACACATAACAAATCATATAACCCGAATGAGTTATATGCGCAAAACAACAACATACCTGTGACTCATAATCATGTATCACATAAAAACCTTTTCGATGCCAAGCTACATTCATGACATTAGCTCCCCTCCTCATAAGCCTGAGTCCCATCAGGCTTTTTCTCCCAGTTTTATTAGTTCCCGTCCTGCCGAGCGCATGGTCCTTCTCAGCTTGTAGAACTTTTCATCCACCGTCTTCCATCTGACCCTTACTGATTCTAGGGTCAGATTCACCATCTCGATCGTGTACCGCTGATTATCTTTCAGCTGTCTTAGCTCTGCGATCGTTTTGTCGTTTGCCGAA